CTTGATAGCCAGAAGCTCATTCGAGCGCTTTAAACCAATGAAGGGTTGTCAAAGAGATTTAGTTAATGGCAGACTTTGTGGCCACTTTGTGAGAAGACAACTCTTTCTGCTCACTGTGCTTGCAACAAAAACTTTTCTTGGCATCTTAATTAAATTCATTCTTTAAATTAAAAAAAAAAAAAAAAAAAAGACCAGGCATGGTGGTGCACGCCTGCAATCCCAGAGCTGGGGAGGCTGAAAACAGGAGGATCACGATAAGTCAGAGCTGAGAAGTGAGATCCACGGGATGCAGAAGCTGTGTTACTTGGTAGGCATGCACAGGTGTTGGCAATTTAGGTTTGCACAGCCCCTGAATGTGGGTGTTTTGCGGAGCCTTGCTCATGTCTCTGACAGAGACAGAAGCAACCAACATGTCCTCCTCGGCGAATGGTTCATAGAGGTGATGGAATGGTGCTCGGTGTTGAAGAGAAAGGATCTCTCCAGCCATGAAAAGTCACGGAGGAGCTTTCAACATGTATTACTCAGTGAGGGAAGCAATGAGAAGAGGCTTTGCACTACAGAATTCCAGCATGGGCAGTGAGGGCTGGCCGGGTCTCAGAGTAGTCACCTGAAGCCTTTTCTCCCATCTTTCCTCAGGACAGAAACAAAAAGTGGAATTCACCCGGCAGCAGCTGTCTCAGTGATTGAGCTGTAGGCTCCACCTGAGAACCTTCATCTGCCTGCAGAGCATAAATCAGGGCTGTCATGTGTCCCTGCGTGCTCCCTGGCAGGAGGCCTTCATCACCTGCTCCGGGCCTTGGCACCCGCTGCCTCGTGTCCGACCCACGTGCTGATTAAATTTTAGAAGGTAGCAGGGGGTCCTTGGCTTGCCCTGATTAATCACTGCCTCTCTGGCAGCCCTGGGCCCCTCCTTTCTGGATGGTGGCTTCCAGGGTCCCTTTCTGGCAAGTGGCTCCTTCTCTACACATCCCAGCTTGGCGACCTGGGGCTTGAGCTGTGTCCTTCACGAGCCCATCTCCTGGAGAGGAAACCACTCTCATTCACGCCTGTCTACACTTCAGAAAGTTCCCTGTAGACCTGTCTTCATTCTTAAGATTTGCCCAGTAGTAGAGCCCCTAAAAAGTGAGGAATCAGGGGCTGGGGTGACATCATGAGAGCCATCAGGATAGCTGTGCTTCCTGCAGATATGAGTGGACCTGGAGTCACCCGTCACCTCTGAGGTTCCCAGTGCTGTTTGGGCAAGACAGGAGGTCCCAAAGTAAGCAGCAGGGTCCCACAGTGGCTTTGCAGTCCCATCAGTCTCTTCTAGGGTCATATCCTTCCCCTGACAGCAGATGCACACCTTGTGGTGCTTTATTTATCCCTGAGAGTGACGACTTTGTCTCTGATTGGGTTTGCTCAGACTGCGTCAGAGCCGGCAGTGGGTGTCAGCCATGTCTATTGGGCCTTGCTCAAGGCTATTTCTGGGAGACCCCAAAGTGAGAAGGAAGTGAACTCTGGGCTGTCTGACCATTCACGAGTCTGTCTTTTCACTTCCTACTTCTCATGTGAAAAACGCTTTAGGAGGAAACCCCATATGTAGACTTCTAAGTTGAAGAAGAAAATTTTGCCAAAAGCCAAGGTGAAAAGATTCCCTCCTTTCCTTTCCCCCTTGCTTGCTGCTTGCTGATTCCTCCAAATACTTATTGAGCATCCCTGGGAGACAGGAACTCAGAGCTCTAAGGAGCCAGGCACGTGGTGTTCAGTGTGAGGCAGGCCAAGCAACTGGGGATGCTGGGGTCTAACCCAACAGCGTGTCCCCTGTGGAGGTCTCTTCTCCTCCTTGCCTTTTTCTTCTTCCTTTTTCCTTGCTGCCATATTGGTTAAAACACACACACACACACACACACACACACACACACACACACACACACACACACGAGCAGGATGCTAAGACTGAAGGACAGGCAGAAGAGGCGCCTCTGTGTGACATTCGTTATAGATGCCTTTGTTTAGGCGGAGGCTACATATCAGAGCGTTCTCCAGCACCAACAAAGCAGCTGAAATAACCAAGAGGAAATCTTTGCTCAAGAGTGACACACCGTCAGTGACAAGATTCTACAACATTGTCCGAAAAGTGTCACTCTGAAACAAGGAAAAACTCATTCCTACAGCCCGGGGAAAAGCCAAATGAGAATTCATGTATTTTTCATCAGGAGCACTTTCTTTTCTAAAATATTTACAGGCTGTCGCCTGAAGATCAGTCATAACAATTTTCCTCTTAGATTTCAGCGTGCTTGGCATGCTCTGCAGAAGAAGCACATTTTGGTGGCAGCCAGGGAGGCTGCGGATGCAGCAGAGAAGAATAGAGCACCAGAGCTGCCTTGTGTGTGGGGGGAAGGAAGAAGCTGTGGAGAAAGATGCGCGCCACACAGGGACCTCTGCCTTGTGTCATTTGCAGTGTAAGTGTGGGTAGAGCACAGGGTACCTAGTGCCTGAGCCAGGTATGACTTTGAATGACAAAAAATGCCTGGCAGTGAAAATCCATGTCTGCTGGGCGAGGAGGCCTCTGCTGCCTGCTCCCCAGAGCACCACTGTCACCTGCTTCTGAGCCTGGGCCGTAATTTCTCCTCCCCAGCCACACAGGGATGGTGAGTCAAGGGGTTGAGCTGCCTGTGTGTCAAGGGTTCCAGCCTTAAGGAGTTCGGGCATTGGCAGGGGCAGCAGCAACACCTCCTGCACCCCAACTGTTCATGGCTAGCCGCCCTTCATGTACTGCCGTGTCTCTCCCAGGCTGGCTTGGATGGGCTGATTTGCCATGGCCTTGAGGTAAGACCCCATGATATTATTTCCTAAGTGGGCTCTGTCCAGGCAGAGTCATGAGCGCTTCTCCGAGGACCTGATTCTGTCTGCTCCAAGGACTCTCTGCCACTCCTAGGGATGTGTTTCTGCAGCCCTTGATGGGAGGCAAGAGAGGCAAGTATCCCAAGGTACGAGATCCTGATATACTTAGAAAGTTTCCTCCACTGTCTTGGGGTAGCTTAGAGCTGGATGGGAAAATGGTCATTTCGGGGAAACTTCATACTTGGGGTTTCCGGTGCTTTCCCTTGCCATCTCAGAGGGATTTCCCAGCCCTGGGAAGGCTGCGTGGCCTCACCAGCAGCAGCACATGTGGGCATTCAAGTGCTGCAGTTTGACAGCAGCCAGGCCACTCTGCAAAGTGTTTAGCAACCAGCTTTCCAATGGAGCCTAGCTGTTTTTTATTTGTGTTGTTTGCTAATTTCCGTGTCTAATCTCAAGGTGCTGGTGTGATGTCACCAGGAGCCATTTTTAAAAACATTTTATTTGCATTTATTTTCTGCTTAATTTATTCCCGTGCCATAAGTTTTTGTTTCTTCAGTTTCTTCTGGGATATCTTTTTCTTCTGTGCAACTTCTTCCTCTGGTTCAGAACAATTTGATCCTTTTCAGTAAGGATCATCTCAGTATGGCAGGGGGAGCTCAGGGATGGATTAATCCGGCCATGAGCTCTATAAGTGTGGCGGCGCATCTTGGGTGCTTTGTTCACCTGGATATGTTCAATAACCAGAGAATCTACATCTAAACCCTTAAGCTCAGCATTACTCTCTGCATTTTTAAGCATGTGCAGCAAAACTTCAGCACTCTTTTTGGGCCACCGACCCTGTGTCCAGCCCCACTGTTTGGCCTGGCACACCTACCAGTTCCACCATTGTGACGCCAGAATGACTCACATTGCTTCTTTAATGTGACATCCTTCAGATACTTGGTGGCCTTTTGGATATGCATACCCTTGATGGCCTGGGCAGTTTCATGCATGTTCTTAAAGTGAACGCGAAGATTTGAGCCTCTTGATTTGCATGATTTTGTGGGGTTTTCTGGGTTGAGAGAGTAGTGAGCCATTTTCACAGGTCATGTAAAGCCTCTCACAGGAAGAGGAAGAGCGATGGTTTCTGGGAGAGTTTCCAGGAGCCATTTTGAGCATGGCATTATCTCTAACTCAAGAACAGCCCTCTCTCCCAGGGTTCCATCAGAGATCTTTGCATGCTGCTCTTTGGAGGGAACTAGGTCAAAAATGGAGGAAGGCCCTTAAAGAGAGGGAGAAAACTGACCCAGATCCACTGATCAACCACCTTGAGTGTGAAAGAGAAAGGCAGGTGACAGCCTGTGGACCTTGAGTGGACCAGCCCATTTCCATGGTGCTGAGGCTGCCTGTCCATCTTGAGATGGGAAGGAGTTGTTAGCTTTCTAGGGCCACAAACCTGGTGACACGAACACCCGGAATGAACTACCTTGAGGCTCTTGGGCCAACATCGGGGATCGGCATGCCAGCGGGGCTGGATCCCCTGTTCCACACCACCTCAGCCTTGGTGACCTCTTTCATAGCCCTTGGTCGGCATATATTTCATGTAATTTCTATTTGCATATGGCTTTCTGCGACCCATCTCATTGTTTTTTGTTAGAAGTAAGGGTTCTAGTTCTATTGGGTTAGGGTGGGTGAGGACATCTGTCGTATTGGTTCACACTCCAGTAATAGCCTCACTTAGCTACCTACAGCTGTAGTGACTCTCTTTCCAAACGAGGTTGCCATTTGAGATACGAGAGCTAAGACTGCTGGGGCAAATATCTGGGTTCACAATTTGACCCCATAACAGAAGGGGAGCATCAGGTAGTAGGTTTCCCTTCAGGCCTTTGAAAGAATTCTACAATGTGAGAGGTACTTTTCCAGGTGGACTGAGAACTGTTCCTAGAGAACCCCACTTCTTATCGGGGCCGCACTCTTAGCTATGGCCTCTGCGTCCCCACTCCCTGAGGGCTGACACTGCTTCCTCCTGGCTGTCCCTTCTCCCCTTACCTCTGCACAAGGTCAGGTCCTGTGTGCCTCTCAGCTCTGTCCCTCATAGCACTCTGCCCGTTCTTGCCTCTTCATCTATAGTGAGGTCTCCCCCAAATCTGTCCTGTCTCCTGAGTGGCTGGGTCTGGTGGCGGTAGGGATGTCTTTACCTTGTTTACACCATCGGCCATGGCCTGCAGCGTGAGCTCTCGGGGCCCATCCACTGTCTTGCCGTTATCTGTGGGGCCCCAGCTGGCGCTGTAGATGTCGATGAGTTGGGGCATGTGGCTGATGGAGGAGGCCTCGATGACGTCAGTCATGAAGGGCTGGTCCAGCATGCGGATACCTGTGGACAGATGCGACAGGGGATGGGGCTTTGGCTCCCAGTTCTCAGGAGACATGGGCCTGGAGAAGAGTGTGGCTCCTAGGTGTGGTTGGAGAGCTGGCAGTCTCAGATGCCCTGTGCATACTATGGAGGCCAAGGACCCAAAGGATGAACAGGCTGTGTGCAGTGGTGCAGGCCTGTAATCCTAGTTGCTTGGGAGGCTGAGGCAGGAGGATCAAAAGCTGGAGGTCAACCCAAGCAACTCAGGGAGATCCTGTCTCAAAGTAGATTAAGAAGGTCTGGCGATGTGGTTCTGCAAAACCCAGGGTTCAATCCTGACTACTGGAAAAGAAAATGGTGCACAGAGAGTCCCCCATAGTCCTGTGGCCCCTGCTCTTGCCTGTCCTTGTGAATTGATGTGAGGGAAACATCATCCCCTAGCAAGCTTGGCTGGGCTCCCAGTGGGGAGGGCAGCCTTTGGGTGAGATTCCTAGCCAAGCAGAAGCTCCGCCTGCAGTGCCACCCATGGGATTGCTGTGACTGGAGGTGCTGGGAGCTTGGTTGCCACTGTGGAGATGTGGGGACAGATGCTGTACTTGGGGAGCGCCTGTTAATGCCAAGAAGAATGGGTTGATAAAAATAGTGAAAGGCCAGTCATTTGCTACTTCTGGCTCCTGGCCTCTGGCCTCTGGCCTCACCATGTCATTGTCCTCACGTGGGTCTGCCACGCTGTCACCTGCCACATCTAGAGGCTGAGTGATGGGACCATTCAATCTTGAAGGTGCTGGGTAAAAACTCGGGGTGTTCTGGGCAGAGGAAGTGGCCTCCGGAACATTGGGGTGCTTTCTAATTTATGTTTGTTAGGAGTTTTTATCCTTACGGGTCTTGACCCAGATATGAGCACACGTATATATGGGGGGGTTCATCCACAGCGAGGGGGGCGCCTGCAGTCACAGGGACGTGGCGCTGGGAACACGGATTCACTGATCACATTAACCCAACTTTCTGGACAGAGACTCTAGGAAGACTTCCACCTTCCTGCCCACGGAGATGAACAATGATAGAGGTTGGCCACGAGGTGGCGCGCGAGGTCTCCCTAGCCCAGCAAGCTGCCGGACTTGGCAACTACAGTACCGTGTCCCGCCTACATGTGTAAAGGGCCTGGGTCTCTGGATTTGTTTGCAATCCTTAAGCAGCTCTCCAGAGCGCCACAGCTTCAGGTGCAATTCACTGTGACCCCGGGGGTGTGGACAGGAGACCGGGGAGGCGGTGTCCCTAGCACGTACAGGGACATCAGCCTCTGCTCAGCTGGAAAATCAGCTCATTTGGTGGGCATCCCGGATGTATCCGGAGCGCAAATAATAACAGAGAAGAGCCAGAGACAAGAAGCTCAGGGGACACGGACTCTGCGCAGATAGCAGGGCGCTGCTTCTGACTTGCCTCTCACGAGTCTTTTGGTTCCAAAAAGGCAGAGACTGTGGGTGTGCGGAGACTTCAACCGTACTTTGAAAGCCACCATACAAATGAAAAATTTAGGTTTGAATTTTCCGTTGGCCTCTGGTCCTGTCCTGTGTGTGAGAAGCTGCCTGGGCCCAGACACCCTCCGGGGTGAACTTGGCTTGTGAAACACCTTCGTGAGAACCTTTAACCTGGCTCTGCCCTGCCAGAGCAGCTGCTGCCACCGCAAGGCTGCACTGTGGATGCCCACAAAGCGAAAGAGCTGAGGCCCCGGGGACAAAGGCTTCTTCCCTGTGGCTAGGTTTTGGAGACCCCCAGGGGGGTTCTCTTGTGACCTCCTGCACCCGTCTCAGGATGGTAATGGGAGCTGTTCACACTGGGCTGGTACAAGGTACCCTGGTTTCATTTAGGCCTTGAAAATGGGAATGCCAGCACAGAGTAGGTTTATGTTTTCTTTAAACTGCTGGGGAAAAAAATCAAGAGAGTTGTTAAAAAAAAAAAAGAAAAGAAAAAAGACAAGAAAAAGACAAGAAAAACAAGGTTGGGTGACTTAGCCTGAATAAATTAAGAACGAATTTGATGCAAAACTTGGAACAGGCCAGACACTTGTCCATTCTCCAGCACCTTGTTGAAAGTTTATGAATCTCTCTCTCTCTCTCTCTCTCTCTCTCTCTCTCTCTCCCCACCCCCTCACTTTTTTTGGGTTAGTGGTGGTGCCAGCTTCTAAATGTCCTGGGACACATCCCTCCCATTTCTAAACTCCTTGTGAAAAGGAAATTGTTAATATCTGATACAGTGAAACATTGGAGGAAGTTCTAGGTAGTTTAGGTCTTCCTGAAGATGCGATTTGCCACTTACAACAGTCTCAATGGCTCTGAGTATCTTTACAAACCATGCATACACATGTTATATTCTAAAATCTCTATTTGAGTCATAGTCAAATGACTATGTCAAATGTTGATGTAGAAAAGAACTGACCATGTAAGTCCATTTATCCAAAGTCCAAACACTAGAAATGACCAATTTTTGCTATTACAGTAAGACAGCTGCTGTTGGGTGAATGGGTACTCACAGCAGGCCAGGGATGACTTGGGGGTCTGATTAGATTTTGTTCTTGTTGGTGTAATGGCCATTGCATTTGTGAAAATCCTTGGGCTATATGCTTCTGATCTCTGTGTTACTATATTTATCTTATACTTAAATTTAAAATATTAGATACATTGCTAGTGCTGTACAAGTTAAAATTAAAAGCTTTTCTCACTCTTGCAGTGGCGTGGCACAGCCTTCTTACCTGCGACCTTGGAGTTGTATGCCACCCCGACCCCGCAGATATTGTTGTTGGCAGCGGCTGAAACCTCCCCTGCGCATCTCGTGCCGTGGCTGCGGGAAATTAAGGCAAGTTAGATCCAGCATCAGGAGTGCTTGGAGGAGAGTAAGGTTCTGTCAGCAGGAAGTGGTCGATTCTCTGTAATGGCTTGGCTGGGGATGTGTCGGTCTGGGGCCACCTGGTCTTTTGTCCACATAGCCCAACGCCCCCGATCTTCCCTGCTGGTTGCTTCTGTCCTGAAGAGGTTTCTGAGACCCTTTTTCACCTGAGCATTTGATCTCGGCTTTAGAAACAGAAGTAGCTTCCTGCAGAAACCACACAGGATTCTCTAAAAACGTAGCCCAATATAGAGCAGGTGTGTGCTGGCTCGCGCCTCTGCTATTTCTGAAGAATGATGGACTTGCGCTTATTTCCAAGGGCCTTTTGAGCCACAGCGTTAGAGACAGAAATTCCAGTGTGAGTTCTAGCAGAGCCCAAATGTAAAATTCCCCAGCTAGTTTAGCATGAGCTGTGTTTGCTGGCTGATGCCCGATGAGCTCTCTAAAGTGAGCCCTTGGGTTTCAGAAGAGAGGGGCTAGGAATGAAGAGGGGAGGCAGGATGAGCTAGGATGGGGCATGGGTCAGACTGTAGAAGCAGCCCTCTGGTGAGTGCCCAGTGCCTTCTGCAGCAGAGCAGGGAGGACCACCCGCCCAACCTCCGGAGGCCAGACCTTAGGCTTTTCAATTTCCCTGCTCAATTGGCCTGGTCCCACATGTGCAAGATAGCTTGGGATGTAACTCATTTTTCAACCAGCAGTGCAGAGTCACAGATTCTTGTCAGAAAGTCCAACCCCACACCCCAAACCAGAGGTCTGGTTTCTGTCTAAAGCTCAGATGAGAGAATAGCTGCATGTGAGGAGACGGGCGGATGATTGGGACGCCCTTTGACTCCTTTTGCATAGTTTTTATCACTTGGCTAAGTAGAGGGGGACTCTTTGGCTTCGTTCCTGTAGAGATCACCGTGCTAGAGTCACCGTCACACTGGCTTCCACACGGGAGCGTCAACCCTACCCACGTCTTGCTCTGTGCCAGGGACTCCGTCTCCGTCTCTCTGATCCTCATGTCAATCCTTCTGGGTGGGAGAATCATTCCCACTTTCTGGCCTGGGACATTAACTCAGGACTCCCTGGTTATGGAATCAATCCACAAGCCAACAATCCCCGTGATGTACTTGTCTTCCATTATTCACTATATTTTTTTCTCTTGAGAAAAGATTCCTTTGCCCCTCAAACACCATGAAATTCCCTTATCAGGCATGCACAGCATTAGCTTCCAATGAAGAAAATTGTGCCAACATGTTTATTATACTCTTTTACAATCTTTATAATTTTCCTCATAAACCTCTTAAATCTGTATTATGCTTATGTCTTTTAGCCAAGGGGGGAATTTCAATGATGAATACTTCTCTAATGCAGATAGAGGACTAGAAATAAAATAAAATAAAGAGTATAGGCCCCCCCCCCAGTGTCTCTGAATAGCTATATCTACCTTTAAGGGAATCTCGAAGCTCTCTTAAAAAAATGCTAGAATTGGTCTTGAAAGCCAGCTGAATTTTATTACCCAGGAGGTGATTTCAGAATCAGTCCATAAAGACACGAGGGAAAGGTGTTCATCTCTTCCTAAGCCATTAGGTGTCACCAGGGTAAAGTGTCAGTTTACATCAGCTTGGAAAGAGCAAGCCAGGGAGTCTCTGTCTCACATACTCTTCCACAGCGTGTTGTGTAGGTTCTTCAAAATGAAATACGACTTTTAATAAGGAACAAAAAGTTAATTCCCAGAAATCTTTCTTATCTGAAGGTTTAATGCCACCATCAATCACATTAGTTCCCGTGGAGATAAATATTTTTTAGCACCCATTTGTCCTTCTTCCTTGCCCCTCATCTTGGTTGCTTGAGCAATAAATGTCTTCCCTCTTTCTGAATTTATAGTAAACTTTTTTACAGCCAGGAATCCCATCTAATCTGGAATCTCTCACTCTTTAGGGCCTAATAGAGAGTGTGCTGCATGTGGAACGCTCCATAAATACTGCCTGTGGCAGGGATGACATTTCCGCAGGGAATGCCCATCCAGGAAGTGTTCCACACTAGCGATTTTATGGACAGCAGCACGGCCAAGGAATACAGATCCACAGATAGAAACACTGCCTTACAGTGGGGCACGACTGCAAGACTATTGACAAAACAGGGGCCTCAGACCTCGTGAGTAGCAGGCGGCGCCGAAATGGACAGATGTCAAGGCCGCTCAACATCATGGCCCGGCTGAAAAGGTAGGGCCACCCATCCATCAAGCAGCCGATCAATAGTTCCTGAATTCCAGCAAGCAAAACGCTGAGTTGTTAGATCTTGACGCCTCACAGCCAATCAATGCTATCTCTTCTCATTACTGATGCTCATTAAATGTATGATATTTCCTACCTTTTTTTTTTTTTTTTTTTTGCAATTTGGGTTATTATTTTGTTTAACCAAATGGATTTCTCTGATTGCAAACGAGGAGAAAATTATACTCTGTTTACAAATTTCTTGACTGTGTTTCAAATATATCCCCGGAGCTCACATACTGCCTGTAATTATTAAATGCTTCACCACAGAATAAATACACTGACTCTGTGAAAAAGGAAACGTCTTGCAAAATCTCACCAAGCCCAGGGCAGGCCATTCTAATACACATAGCCCCTTAGCGCAGGTCTGTATGCGTCTCAAATTTGTTTTCCTGGACAGTCCTTGGCTTGGCATTTTAAATATGTTCTTAAAGCAACGCCAGCTGGAAGGAAGAAGAGGTGGTGGGAAAGCCCACAGGGATGCTTCGAAGGCTCAGCACATGACACCCAGGAGGAGGGGTGCTCCTGAACTGGGTTTCTCACCCAAGGTCAATGCTTTATTACTGGCTTGGGGGTGCAGTCGCTTCTCCCCCTTCCACAGCAGTGATGGGGAGCCAGTGCTAGCTCCTGCCCATTGTTCCTGCATCCTGTGCACCTTTGTGGGGGCAGCATGGTTGGAGTGGGGTGTAGGGACAGACCCCTCCCTGAGCAGAGGTGGACAGCCCTTGCAGGAGCCTGGAGGCCAGACGTGGTGCCACTTCTAGAAAGGATGCTGCAGGTCCTGGGTAAACCTCTGTGGCCCTGCAGCTGTGAGAGGCTCCTATGCCACCAGCTGTAGGTCCTGTGCTGGCCAAGGGCCATGGCTGGACCTGCGGCTTGGGCTTGGGGAAGCGATCCTCCTGGACTGTGATGAGGAAGTTGCTTATCTCTTCCCCCTGCCTGCGAAGTCTCTGCATCTCCTTTCTCTGGGCAGCCTGCCCATACCTTTTCTGCCTCACCTCTAGGGTGAGCCCTTCTTAAAATATGACCCCCCTGTGCCAGTCTCTAACATCCAAGTCAGTAACCCAGGGCACCTTCTGAATGTAGCAGTACCTCCTTCTTTACCATCTTTGCCTAGAGCACAACCTTGCCCCAGAGTACACTTGCCCTCCCACCACAACTCCACCTGTTGCTCTCACTCCAATCCTGGACTAATGTCTCCCACAGGGGCTCTAGGAGCTGCCCGTATCACTTAGTAATGGCGTGACCTTGAACAGGTGCTTAAGATCTGTGCCTCAGTTTCCAAAATGAACATCATTTGGAGGGTGCCATCCAGAATTACTAGAATTAATATGAGATGCAATAGGAAAATATGG